CAACATTGCTGCTAGTGTTATAAACACAAATATTTTTCATTAACTGATGTAAAAATCAATAGAAACGAAAGCAATAATTGGCTGTTCGCAATATTATGATAATTACACTGAATTATAATTCTCAATTTCAAATCTCGAAAATGGATGTTCACGTTGTTGAAGAACGAACGAACTGATGTTCTTCTAAAGACATTTCATAATTTGATCGGACCTTTTGACTAATCTATTTAAGTGAGTCGTTGTGCGCTGGTTGTCACAAGGCTGTTTGAACGTGATTGTTTGTATTGGGCGATGCTGCTTTGGTCATTTGTAGGAAAATTTTGTCTCGCTTAGGGAATTTCCTAATTGCAGATTTTCTTATTTTCCCATGTTTTTAATGTTGATGCACCGATTTTAATAATCGGAATTAAAATTTAGATATAATTTTATGTGGAATCATCAAATTGTCAGCCAATTAATGTTCTGCTCTTTCAATAACGTTTACGCGAAATGCAATTTTATACGCTTAATACGTTGTTTATCAAAATTCTGTTTATATATTCTCTATTCTGGTCATGAAGATGGTTTCTGTCTACTGATAAAAGAAAGAATAGTTTATATTGTGCTGCAATGTGTATATTAAGTCAACAATCATCAATATAGTAACTAATGTGATTATTTTGATAGAAGAGTGAGAAAACGTAATTGACCTAAAAAATGTGATGTATTTGCGCTACACATTTCGAACAATCTGGCCACACATATTTACTTGTCAAGGCAGTTTATATCAAGATGAATAAAAGGTTGAAGGCGAAATTAGTTGATATCGCTCATCAATTTCATGGTGTCAAAATAAGACAACTTGAATATTTTACATCCAAACATTTCTGTGCCTTAAGGGACCTCCGTAAAAGATCAGATATTGTAATTCTCAAACTTGACAACGGATCTGGAGTAGTGGTAATGAATAAATGTGATTAAAAGAAGAAAATATTACCTATCCTTAGTGATGAATGAAAGTTTTTGACCAATGTTTCATCTAATAAGGAGGTTAGAAAATTAGAATCGAGAGTTAACTCCAATCTAATAAAGCTACTTAACATGAAGTTTATCAATAAGGAATTTAATGTGTTAAAACCCATTGGTTCTGTACGACCGAACGTATATGGATTACCCAAAATTCATAAACCGAACAATCCACTGAGACCGATACTATCTATGTGTGGCTGATCTACGCATAAGCTAGCCAAATGTTTAGCTAAATTACTTAGCCCGATTCGTAATAAATTTCGTACGTTTTCCCTGAAAGATAAATTTGAACTAATTGGTGTTCTTGATGACATTAATATTAAAGAAATGACTATGCATTCTTTTGATGTAAACTCCCTTTTTACCAATGTTCCCCTAATGAAAACTGTTAACTTCCTGTGTAACTATATATTAAGTAATTTCCCCCTTTTTCCCATTCACTCAAGTCTACTAAGAGAATTAATTTTATTATGTACTGAGAAAGTTCATTTCATGTTTGATGATGAACATTTCCAGCAAATTGGTGGCGTTGCTATGGGTTATCCTTTGGGACCTTTCTTAGCTGAGTTTACAAGGCATATGCTGAAAATTTGTAGAATGAGCACCATATTAAGCTAACTCTCTATAGGAGATATATGGATGATATTTTAATTATATGTGATAAAGAACTTAACGTCTCTCAGTTACTGGAAAACTCAATAGTCTTCAGAATGACATTGTATTAACGCATGAATCAGAAAATGATGATCGATTACCTTTTTTAGACATATTATTGAGCCCAAGAGATAATGGAACTATAAAGCTGTCTGTTTATAAAAAGCCGACGTGGACTGGACATTACTTAAATTTCAGCAGTTTCTGTCCACTGCAGTATAAGCGAGGTTTGATAAAATGCCTCTTCAGTAGGGCACAAAGGATTTGCATCATTGATAAATTTGAAGATGATGCAAAATTCTAAACTGAAGCATTGATTTCAAACGGCTATCCGCTAAAGTTCATCAATAGATGTAGAAATGAGATAAGACAAAAGCATGTTTTTGAGTCTGCTTAGAAGGAAAAGGTTTATATCACTTTACCATTTAGTGGTGAAGTAAATGGCCTAATAATAAGACAGAGACTGTAAGCAGCCATAGAGAAAACATCCAACGCTGCTAAACTGATAATCTTTGAAAAGACCAAGTCCATGATTCCGCATATACATAAACGTTGCTCTAATGATTACATCACATCCCATTGTATTTATCAATTTACATGCTTGTGTGGACACACATACATAGGGAGGAGTAATCGGACTTTGCAAACAAGCGGTGTGGAACATGTACCTAAGTGGCTTCAATATCAGTTAACGTCAGATGAGCCGATTAACGTTGGAAATAGAAAACCATGTTCATCGATCGCCAAATACATTATTGAGACAGGGCATAAGATTGACATCAAGAAAGCCTTCAAAACATTGTATAAAAATGTTGAAGGACGAATTTTGAGGTTTACGGAGGCATTGGCTATTAGGAAATTATAACCCCCTTATGTGTGCAGAAACAATTTGTCATAATCTTGAATTTACCTTGGTAATCTTTAAGCCTAGGATAATGTGACAATTTTCCTACCACTTCATATTCTTTTCATATTACATTAATTTTCCCTCTCCTTTATTTACAATTATTACCCTGTCTATTTGAACTTTTATTTAACTGACCTTTTATTCATCTTCATATAAAATGCCTTGACAAGTAAATATGTGTGACCAGATTGTTAGAAATGTATAGGGCGCAAATACATCACATGTTCAGGTCAATTACGTCTTCTCACTGTTCTATCAAAATTTATAAAAAGAACTAATTGTTTTAATGTGATTATCATATTTAGATCGTAATAACCAGTCGATCAAGTGAATAAATTGAATTAATAGAGAGGTACTCGTTGGAATATGTCGACAATTACAAGAAAATTGATGCAGTGTTTTTGGTACTGTATCAAAAAGGAATATTGTTTATTGAACCTTTGAACGAGAAGAGTTATATTAACGTCGTCTGCAGTTTTCCTTGTCAATAGATACCATGTAGATAGATTGTTCCGAAATATCCAGTGATGAAAAGTTTGTGTACATTGGTGTGGGTAGTTGATTAAGAACTGACAAATTTCCCAAGTGCAACAATCTATTCTTCAGAGTTCACTTCTGGGAGAAAGTACTAAAGACATTTTCTGCATCAGTACTTGTACTAGAGTGCATAACGTTCCAAGCATATAAATAAAATGAATACTACTTTCACCGTACTTTGTCTGCTGATCCTGATTCTTCTGTGTCTGTTTACGCTGAATTTTTGCTTGAAATTTATTCCGCGCTCGTGCATTTCGACTGCTGACGAGAAATACAGCTATAACAAAAATGTGGAACTGCGTAACGTCGGCATGTTATGGCAACAGGTTACGACAAATAAATGAACACTTTGCAGTCACCTCCGTTCACTTCATTCCGTAACAGCACAACCAGGCTACAATAAACTTCTTGTCATTTTATATCCTTATTCTTGCAGCGGTGTCTTTTCTCAGTTTTAAGATCTTCCCTCTTTCCTGCTTCAGACGTTGATGCTGATAATTCCTGGCCAACGCTGTATATTATGTGAAATACTGTATATTGTGGACAATCAATTTCACTGTTCTCCAATTTTTAATCAACGCAAAACAATCTGAAGTCTGCGTTCGTTGATAGACTTTTGAATCGCGATGTGCTTCATTTGCAGAAAAACTGCCCTTGATTTTTAAATTCATATCATTACATTCACAAAACATCCACCAGTCTACCAACGATGCTGCACTGATATGCAGTGATTTGAACATCTCCAAGGCTAACCTGTTCGAGGTGATTTGTTTGCTACTCTCAGTGTGCTGACCTCTTCATAATTCAGTCTATTGCTAGGTGTGAGAAAACTGTGTGAAGAGAAACACTTTAGCCAAATACCGGTTTTCATAAGGAAAGAACTATCATCTCTCAGAAAGACTCCGTCTAAGCTGTTACCTATTTTAGTCTCAGTCTTACACCTTTCTGAAACCATACTGAGACAATCGTTATTGATTGATTCACTTAGAATTTTCTTTCTGTGTCTTTAAACCTCTTCAGATGCTGAATTTTTTCCTCTTCGACTCGTTTTCACTTGATGTTCATAATGAATTACTCCTCTTACAGTAGGTCGTGAAATTCCTAGTATTTGCTGTTGATAAATGTTTTGAATTTGTTCATCTTGTCAGCGTTGGTTGAACAATATAAAAATTCTCCTCACAGTGGTTGATTAAAAGGCCTGTCGTATACATAAATGTGATAACAATATTTTGATAATTGAATCATACAATATGGCTGTTGTGAGGACAAGATTTCAGCTAACAAAAAAAAACATTAATGCAGTTCAGAAAGAAACCTGTAACCTCAGTCAAAACAAAAGAAATAGAAACTATTTTAAAAAATATATCACTATCCCAAGTAGAATCAAAGAGTCTAACAAAATACCTCAATGAAAGATTCAATAAGAACAGATTACAAATGTATAACATAAAGTGATTTTCACAAGCAAAACCTACTCACTACCTGAATGAACCTATGTAGAATATTTTTAAAACGTGATTTATTCATTGAAGACTGATCAGCCATTGGCTAACATTTGTAAAACATTTTGTTTTCTTATTGATTATTTTTAATCATCCTATCATAAGAACACAATTATATGAAAACTATGTATATAAGCCACATGATTACGAAAAATGTGGCCGTTTTTAATTCGCGAGGAGATGAGGTGGATATCAAATATAAATTTTTATGTTAATAAATGCATACTACACGGTTCCACATCAACTTTAACACCAATCTTATTTTTATTTTGAATATTTCAGAAACAGCGTATCACTTGGATATTTGATATTATTTGTTTTGTTTGGTGTCTTATTCCCGAATTTCTCGGAATGTCTAGAACCTTGCACACAATTTCTCCGCTCTCCATTTCCAACATATGAAAAGATTATTTCCGAAAGTTTTTCATACAGAAAAGTAACATATCAGTTAAATGCTAATACGCACACACAGTCGGATAATTATTACTATTCAATGGAGATCCAACTAGCTAAACGACATCGATACATATTATCAAATATGACAGTTTTTAAAACAAAAAAGGTAAGTTTACTTCAGTACTCATATAAATACTATTATGAACGCATGATATTTGATAGATGCTGCATTCCCTATTCCCGATCAAATTTTACGGAGAACACTATAGTTCATTTATCATAGATCCAAAGGGTGAGTATTGCTCTCATTGAATGAAAGCCACTAATATCTATTGAGATTATTAACTTCAATTGTTTTGTGACTTGATTTGACTCTGATGTTACTGAAGAAATATTATCATATTGAATAAAGTTATCTTTTAATTTATTTGTTTTCATTATTTAACACCCAGGATCGATAAGGTTTATTCATCCTGAAATTAAAAGAGACCTCGGTGGAATAATTACAGAGTTTGCATTTGCTCCAAAACGAACACGTTTCACTGGGACAATTAATGGTGAGTTCTCCTGATATATACAAAACATACTGCTTTCTTTCTAATATATATTTCACACATTTAATTTAAACAGTTTGACATAAATATCAGCAACAAAATAGTGAATATAAAGAGTAACTTTCTTGTTTCACAGACTTATGAGTAGTGTTTCCTATATTCTTCCAACCGTAACAAATGAATAAATGAATAACAAACCACTTGATTAATACAAATCAAATAAAAAAACTATACGATCAAAAGGCTTATTTTTTTCAAGTGAACATTTCGACAACAAACTACATGGTGAAAGCAGTAGGAGTGATTGCTAAATTGTGTTGGGCAATTACTTACCGATATATATATATATATATATATATATATATATATATATATATATATATATATATTTGTATTTGATAAACGTGAATGCCATAATTTCAAGAGGCGTAACATATTGTTGAGCTTTTGTAGAGATTAAATAACATACAGAGTGAAAATATTATTGTCAGTTGATTGACATAAACCGTTCATCATGTTGTCTTTAAAACAACAGTAATTGAAACTCATGTTACTACAGTCAATCATTTGAATAATGCTAGGAAATTAATGTATATAAACAAAGATATATATATATATATACATGTTTATTTATATGTGTTATTATGATTGCAGAGAGTATGATCTTAGTGAATCTGATTTATGATTTCGATATATGTAAGTGCGAGTTTAACCATAGTAGGTCACACATAAAATCATGCCGCATTATCAACTTTATTCAGTATAACTATACATGAGATTTTCAATTGGTTTTTTTTTGATTGATTGTAAAAATTGATGCAACGATAAAAACAATTTCACTTTTGTTTAAAATGCTGTAGCAACTAGTCATTATATGCTCTTCTGAATTTCAACACATCACATTCTATAAGAACAGGTTTTAGCAACGTTTCATGAGCAATTTACATATAAATATCAATTATTTAAAACAAATCATTATTTCACTTATGTTAATTGACCGCAGAAATCGATTTACGTCGTCAGAAATAAATATAACTTGAAGTTTCTATGAACAGTTCTCCCTAGTCAGCACATTTGTTCAACATGTGTGTGCGTTACACAACTATTTATTGAATTTTATCAACACATTTACTGATTGATCGTTCTCAGAGATTATTGTTAATTATAAATTATAATGTGAGTTCTGTTACAGTGCCTTGAAAAGTATCTTTGTGACCAGATTAGTGGAAATGCAAAGCGCAAACACATTATATTTTTCAGATTATTTACGTCTTCTCATTAGAAGTATAGTTGCAAATGAAGACTTCAGATTTCAGTTGATGATAGCTGATGGTTTATTGTATCGGCGAAATTCCGAAAATTCCTTGAAAAAAAATTAAAACCTGTCCGATTATTTAGTTTTGCATAGAATATGAATATATGGACTGTAAATGAAAATAAGTGTGCAGTCATTCTTCCTAAACTCAAAGAAGTCAATCTTTCGATCTGAAGTGTGAATATCGATTTTGTCTTCATGTCATTGTGTCTAGTGTGAATGATACTATCAGCTTGAAGGAGGATATTGAATGTAACACTTTGAATGCCAAGTGAAATCAGGCTACCAGATAATCAATTATGCTGAGTTATTATTAGTAGCGAAACCATTGCTTTTTATTTCTGACATTCTGAAATCGTTATTTCTCATTTAGCTGATTTTCTGAGAATAAATGTGCTGATTTATCCGAATGGGAAGATACACATATACTATCATACAGTAAGCTAAGCGATGTAATGAATTTAAATTTTACTTCGTGTGATCCAGTTTAGTTCATTCTCATTCGTATCAAAATGCTGTCGAAAAAGTCAGAATGCATTTTATACGGTTGAAAGAGACGGACAGTTTGTGATATGTATCAGGTCTGTTTATATTTTCATAGTACATTATGTAACACAAACTAATGCCAGTACTACAGGTTTCAGAAGATAGTTGGATATACATCCATACTTGGAAAGATTAAAGCCTGTAGTGCCACCACATTTATTTGCATCCGCTTACATTTAATTTGCTTAAGACCTTTCGATTAATTTATTTGACCGAGCCATTTGTACAGCAACAACTCACATGTATCATTGTTATTTTTTATTATCTGCTTCGTATGAGCTTATACGACTGAGCACTGTTTAAGCCTACGCGCTTACTCATCCATTTTCGCTTTAATGTTAAGCTCTTAATTTCCCCATGAACTCACATGATTTGTATTGCTTGCCTTTGACCTTGTCAATCATTCGTCGCTTTTATTCATGTGTGTGCATACCTATTTCGCTTGTCATATGTCTGTCTTATTTTTATCTGACTATATATTCTTAGTCATACTCTATCTCTTCGAGTTGGCTTTCAGCCTTCTCCTATTCGCTTCGCCCATTCGCTCGGATTGTAATCCAAAGTGTTGGCTCTTAGCCTTCTACAATTCGCTTCGCCCATTCGCTCGCATTGTAATTCAAAGAGTTGGCTCTTAGCCTTCTCCATTTCGCTTCTCCGCTTCGCTTTGTGGTGTGCCTCGAATAAACGTATTAATTAATACGAGTTCACTTTGTGATTTATAAACCGAGCTTAAGAACACGCAGTAAATCGGCACACTACAAGCCTACTATTAGAAGTGATCATTCTGCATGACTATTTTGACATGAAAACCTGGCAGGTACGATATATGTTCTTCAGAAGCATAAATGTTTAGATAATTCCTTGCATACTATCTGAAAACTGTAATGGAATGAGAATGTTCACGAGATTACGTTGGTTCAGTGTTTAGAGATTTTCATTCAAATATCATAAATGTTTCTTTCAGATACCTTCTAAAATTCAAGAGAAAGAAATTAAATCCAAAATTTTCAGTGACTTCAAGTGCGAACTTGATTCAACAGGTTAGAAATGGTTGAATTATTATCACGTTTTTCGTACGGTACACATTAGTCAATCATTCTGTTTGCAAATCAGAACTGTATTCGTCATATCGCATGTACTATGTCAACTGGATTGATAACAAGCTTTTTTTAATTATCATAGAGCTGTCGTGTTAGGGAGAATAGACAATACGCAAATTGATCATTTCATCCCTGAACATATATATATTTGTTATCATTTTCACAAGCGTCGTTCTTGTCAATACAATCACAAGCCATTTGATTTGTTGCATCAGTAGAAAATCTGATGATGTTTTCATTTTCTTTGCAAAACTGTCTGGTTCATAAGTGTCACAATGAGACTTATTACGTTTTATTTCAACCGCTATTCACAGTTAGATAAATGATGCGCGTTCGAAGCTTGATTGCAAAAATGTGAATTACTTTACATGAGTTGAATACATGATTACTGTGATTGATCAATCTGAAAAAGGATCAATGCGTGTAATTAGGGGAAGATACAACTTATGTGCACTGAATCTGAAAAATATGGGTTGAATATTTGATCAACAATTGTATTTGTTCGTAAGATTTGTCCTAGAATCTGTTTGCAATTAATTTGGATGTATGATTCAACTTATCTATTTTTAAACTCAGAAAACCATCAATTGATAAGATCAGTCGAATTCAATCACATAAATATTCCTAGATACTGGATCACAAGTGGAACGTTGGTTGAATTCGAACCATTGACAAGTATGTGAAAAGCAACCAATTTTTTTTTTAAATTCGCTATGAATCTATACGCCTGACACTTTTAGTTCAGGTAATAAGTTGAAATTTTCGAAAGTACAATTATCAGAACAACAAACCATAGTGGATGAATTATCAAAAATATCGTATTACTCAATTGCACCTGCTTCATTTCTATTAATTTTTGACAGCATAAAATCAGGTATAGAAGTTGTCATTGATATCAGACTGACCGCATTTTACAACTTGGAAAAAATACAAAGTACGGGCTGCAATTTACTGTAGCCGTTGTATAATTCCACTTTACATGAAATCGAAAATGATTTTGCGCAGTAAGTTGACTTACAGCGAATTCAAATAAACCTAATTTTACCTGCTCCGGCGCGATTATTGAGGAAAAACTTTGATCACTGAGGCAGTAATCTGATATTCTGTTGGTATCCTCATCTAGATTGTAGTCGAATCAATCTAATACTTTTTTTAAATCTACCACGTTCGTCAGGCGAAATTATTCACTGTCACTTAACTTATGAAGTACATTGCTAAATAAACTGAACTTTATTCATTTGATTACTTTGACAGAAGTTTGTTCCAAACAACAATCCGCCGAATCGTGCAAAGATGCATCAGACACTAGAGTGACATGTTATTGGTGTGCAAGAGCTGGAAAATGCAGTAATGGCCGTGATATGTACACTGCAATTTGGAAAAAATATAATTGTGAAGTATGTTCTCGTTGATTAGAACAGGCAGCTTTCTATCTAAGTACAGCATTTTTTGCAAATCTAGTTTTATTTAAATTATTACGAAGTGACACGCACTCTTTTCTCAAGTATCCAAGCCAGACAATGTTCAAGTCAATGATATCTTACAATACATCAATAACAGTTTTCCAGAGTAACAGTGAGCAGTGAGAGGAATGATTGTTTCAGCGTCCTGATACATCTCAAAAACTCTATATCTCTTCGCGGTTTGCTCCGAAATACCGAAAATATTAGACTGGCATATAATTAAGCCTAGCACGTAAACACGTTAACTTGATATACTTCAACTATTGCTAGTTTACTCTGGTCGGAAAACGAAAGCGAGGATCGAGGATCCCGTGACACGACAAGCTACTAAAATCCGATTATCCCAACCTCCATATTCAGTGAAAATAAGAAGACATGATATGAAGTAGAACGTGTATTCTACAAGCATCCAGAAAGTACGAGGTCCGAATCCAGAAGAAATCAGGATCTCGGATTAGGGATCCGGGACCGAGACCTGGTCCTGAGCGTGGTCATAAAACGTTTCAGATAATACGTATTTCTACATTTTCGTCAAATAAGAAACAGCATCAAATTCGGTGACATTGACAGTTAGGACGACCAATAGAAAGTAACATTTGAAGTGACTTTGATAGTCACGATGACTAATAAGAGACAACATTTAAGTGTTTGACTTTGACAGGTAACACGACCATAATTTTGACCGATAGAACTTGACCAATAATTCTCTTAGAATATTGGATGAATATCCTAACAGATATGAAACATTATATTGCGTTAAGTGTTCATAATATTTGCATGTTGGGTTGTATGTCGTGAATTTTGTTTTTTTTGACGTTTCACGTGTATGACATTAGAGTGTCTGTTACGAGATAAGTTAGCAGTGCCTGAAGACTCATATGTATGTCTATACATATGAATAATAATTCAGTTAAAAATCCTGTATTTTCGCTCTCTCACGTTTAACAATCAGCCAGTTGTAGGAATATTTGTTTCCACATTGATCGATAACTTGGTAGTAGATGTTCTTCTAAGTATGCTTAATAATCCTATCTGTCATTTGTCAAAGTTTAAATCACCTGTCAAATTCACTATTTTCACATATATCGATATAAATGCAAAGCAAAACAGCTTTCTATCGAAAAAATTTTTTTTTTTGATTTTGCACATTGGTTCCATAAACAGAATGAAATAACTGCAAATACAACAGATAATCAACAGGAAGAAGTTACCATAAGTACAACTGAAAGCGAACAAAAAGAAATCACTGTAGTTACAACTGAGGACAAAGGGAACGAAGTCACTGAAAACATAAGTGGATACCTTGTCAAACCCATTCTAAGTACAGAATCTCATCCATATTCATACGTTGTAGTAATAATAGTCGTTACTATCTTCATCTTTGGCGTCGCTTGTGTCTTCTTGATATTGATGAGCAAAACAAAATTATTTGTGAGTTTGCAACAAATATTTTGTGATTTTTGAAATCATTACATCACCAGTTATATGAACCTGATATTCGATAACTTTATAAAATGGAAACATTTGACAGTGAATTAGTTTCATTGCTGAGATGTTAGTCGTGATCATCGTATCGAATGAGATGCGTGAATACAACACACCTAGTATTCAGTATGTGCAATTCTCGCTTCCTGTCAAAATGTTGAAGTATTTGAAAAGACAAGAGAAGTTGACAGCAGTATTGTAAAACGTTTTATAATTTCACAACTTATTGGATGGCAATCAATCCATGTTTTGGTCTGAAAACATAAATGGTGTTGGTTAAAAGTTCAAGATCGGTGCATCTGCTAATCGTAACCAGCATTCAACGATCTATTTCCAATGTTATCACTATTTATTTGTTGTAAGTGCGTTCACTGGAAAGAAACAATATGAGTGGGTTTGTTATTTGTAGGTATTTTTCGCATGTCATCCAGGTAATTTTAAGTGTGATTTCATTCATTTTAGGTCATCAATAGATAATATCAATCAACATGCCAGTTTGTGTCTCCGAATTCATCCCAAAAGAAGAGAAAATGTATTTGTGGGACTCTTACTCTTCTAACGTTGAGAGCTCAATTATTTTGAAAATAGAAATGATTATGTGTCCGGTTGAACGCACAAAAATTTGTTTTTTTTTTCCGTTGTAATATCTTCTGTACTATTGTAATAACCACCAGTGAATACGTCATACACTAACTGATGTGACACTTTGCTTATTCAAGTACTGTCTAAAAATCCTTTGTATTTTGCATTTAATTCAATGTTTGCAGAATTTTTGCGTTTGTCAACAATTTCCTTTTTGTGACTTCCGGGTATTTTTTTTCATGTAACTTTGTTTGCACAATCTACATTTGTTCATAATATTTAACCACTTTTATCAACATGTAAAACTTTATTGAGTATAAATACGAAGTCGTTCCACATATCGTAATCGTTAGCACATTATGTGTGTAAGGGGCTTGCGGAATAAGTATGGGTTCATTTGGACAAATTCGAGACTACAAAGTTTAATTTGTTAGTTTAAGGCCAGTGCTCTTCAGTTGATGTACCTAATATTTGTGTTGCTCGACTTTTTTCTATTACGTACAAGCTGAATAACAAACTGCGTGCATTAAGATATTCTGAAGACAAATGACAACATGATTATATAAAAGTTGCTTGTTCTAACCATCGGAATAGTAAACCTATTTATAGCATATAAATATTGATAGATTCTGTGCAGACGATAGGAGATTTAGATTGTATTTTATAAACAATCTGCTTATATAACTTGGTATGATTAGCCTTTCACTTATTGACTGTCGCCAGCATGGATTTGAAAATAACTGCAGCTCTGTATATTTCACTGTAAACGCCAGTGATTCATCCATTAAGTTACTGAGTACAGGTGGCCACTGAACAAGACAAGCAAATTATTATTACGCTATGAAACTGAATTTTTGTCCTGCAACAAACCTAATTTTTGAAGATCATCTACATCACAACATGCACATTGCTTTAGCGGTGATAAAGTTGGACAGATCTAGCTATTGAACAGCAGCTTTGACTTTTCACCAGGAGAGGGACTAAATCGAGTTATCAAGGTCCTAATACGATTGAGTTTCAAATAATAGTTCACGATTCACAGTTCACATCTAAGACATATTTAGTAGGAATAATAATAATTCACGCGTATTGATGAAGTAAGATAATATTCATAAATTATTTCCGGCAGAATCTGTGTAATTACAGCTGATGGGGAATTTCTTTTCAAATGACGATTCAGTAAGATGGTTCGTGATATCAATGAAATAACGCATAGCTATTTGGATCGGTGAAACTCCACCATTGAAAAGATATATTCGATTATGGATCTATTCGTTTCAACGAATTCCCCAGAACGATTAATTCGTTAATTTCAACGACTAAGTATCGAAGTGTAATGAATGAGTGGTGAGATGGTACTGTTTGTATTAACATCGTATACTGAATCTGTGACTAAGTCATCAAGTGAGATTGATTGTACTGGACGCCATATTTGTTTGCAGATGGCTGATACCCACTAACGATGAGTCCAAGAAGTCGATAAAATTTCCGTCAACAGCTCTTAAGTTCTCCGACGTTGCTTAGTAATATTCAGTCATAATACTTATTACCAAGTTACTCTAATTGTAAAAGAAGTATTACTACATGTTTTTCCAGTCAAGCAAGGAGTCATCACCAGACTCCGTGGTACCAAATATAAATCCGACAAATTAAACTAACATTCAAGTTAAGGTATATGGATTTCAATGTCAAAGTACTTGATTTCCGTAGGTGCTATATTAAACAAGTGGTGATTGTTGCAACATGAACACATAATGAATCCGGTTTTGTTTTTATTGTATTATTTGAGTCAGTATATTCTCAGTACTAATTCCTCAAGAGCCTGTCTGTGTGTTTTTGTGTTTCGTTAACATTTTAATGAGAAAAAATTGTGACAATCGAAATCATGAATGTCCGATTACCAGTGAATATCTGCATAAACCAGTTAGCTAAGTGTATTCTGAATTTTCTTCCAGGTTTTTAATAGTGTTTCAGCTAAGATCAACTTGTAGTTCAAACTGCGAAAATTTCTAAAGTGGTCACTTAAACTGAAGATATGCAAAATCGTCATCCAACTCAGAATTTTTCGGGTGATACTATTAGAAAAACTATTAACTACTTCAAAATGATTCGAACATTTGGAAATTCCGTTGATTTTCAATGAATAGTGTATTTTCTTGTAGCAACTATTCTATCTATCTATAAGATGCTTGGTTGATTCTGTGAATGTAGTATTTCAGTTGAATTAATCGATTTTCAAATGATTATTTTATGTTGAATGCTTTCCGTTAAAAACTTTTAAATTATTTTAATAAATAATTGTAGCTTTATTGCAGACTGTCTTAAAATCATCTATGCTTCAATTGATTAGCATGAATATCTCAGAATCAATTATCAATATCATTGTCAATCACATCTTTTTCTATCATTTTGTGGCTAAGTGTAAGTCACCTGCTCAGTCAGTAATTAAACATACATTGAGGTTTCATTAGATCAGGAAACCTCAGCAAAACCTTTAACTTTTCCACTTATTTGAATACTGCAATTTTGCAAATATTTTTACGCCTCATTAGTAACCACTATGTTCTTATTGAACTTCTAAAAAATTTCATTATTCTAACTTGTCATATAATTTTAATCAGTCATATGATTTCACAAGCTTTGTTTGCCATGCTGAACAAAAAAGCATTAGAATTTCTCCACGTTTGACCTGTAGCTTGTTCTGCTAACCTCGATCTTGATTGGTTGTTGTTGACCTTTGACCTGTCGTTGTTTGCAACTAATGCTTCTTTTGTATCTGAAGTTCGTGCTGATGGTGTTGTTCAGAAGAACAGTGAAAGCTCCACAACAGCTCAGAGAACGAAAAACCACCACATTGTTTGAGAATCCATGACATAGGATTAGCACTGAAGTTCACAAAGCGTGTTTCATTATATTGGATAGTGGATTATATATTTGACTGAATAACCGAAACGGAAAAATTACGATGATTATATATAGTAGGAAAACATTTCGGTCACAAAGTACAGAATTCATTTTGCAAAAGATTTATTCTTATTTCTTTGCTATAAAATATGACATCAATTTTTGATCAGAATATACATTTTACAATGTATAAATTTCATTGTTCACTGTGAGACCACTCATTAACAAGTCAATAGTGACAACTATATTGTTTTCATTGAAGTAGGTTTGTGAAAATTTTATTATTTTCCATTTCAGATGTTAGACATTTATTTGCATGAGAGAAATACTGAGAGTTGTGCAAGATGATCGTTCGATTTAGGTCGTTGTAACCTGGTTCAGTCATCCGAGGATCGAGTTTTGAATAACAGAATCAGAAGTCTCGCGTAAGATCGAATTGATTTTAGTTGTGAATGCATACCGATTGGTCGACCGTAGCTGTTACCTTAACGTGGTGATCGGACTTGCCTATTAAGATGACATAACCGAAATAAATTGGCCAGAGCATATTATCATGTATGTTCTACCATGCCATGCAGGTCGACGAAACTTAAAGAAGCTACTCAAGTTCTGACGGCGAAGTCCTACTGCTGAGTCAAGAGGGCTGTGACGGTCGTAAGCTGTCTACCTTAGATAACTATCCTCTAAAGCGACGCTGCCTTCTGACAAGGAAGGGGGAGTTTGAAAATGTGGATCCTAAAAATGTCACACATTACGCATCATTGTCCGAAATGCCTTTCAAACAAGAACGGAGGTTCTTCAAGAAACACTTTTCCACAGTGTGGGCAGCCGTGATATGACAACCGCCTTCATACTCGATAAAGCAAAGGATGTCAAATTGTTCATAATCAAATCCATCCAACATAACCTAACCTCCCCCTTATTTTCACAAATAACTCATCTCACACTCCACAACCTATTCTCACCTTCCACTTATGCTGCAAACGATTACAGTTCCCGAAGTCTGAATTTTGGTTTATGTTCTACAGTACATATCGGAGCATTAAATGTATTGACATTATGTCTAATAGGAAAACAGGTTTACTTTAGCTAGGACTTTAATGTCTTGCGCCATAAATGTATGCTGCGTCCCTGAATTGCTCCTACAGAATGCGAATTGCTTTATGAACTTGACCTCATCAAGTCAAGACAAAGAAGCGAATCGAATCTCCATTCGGGCATCTGGAGGTCCTGATGTTCTCTTAAATCATCTCAAAATTACTTTATTAACCAAACATTATGAAAAAGTAACGAACATTTTCAATTTCCAGGAAATTTTAACAACAAAATTTACTTCATTTGCAATATTTTCATACACAAAATAATAATCTTTTTCCATTTAAAGTCAAGTAAAATGCTGATCGTTCCGAAAATTTGACATTATTATCTAGTTGGGATTTTGATTAAAATCATGAATTAAATTTATAATACTTAACACTTCCATCAGGATAATGGAGTAGTGAACGAGTGCAAGATACTTAAGTCCAACAAGCTTAAAGTGTTTCATTAAAGAGTGTAAAATACTATAATGAATAACTGGAAAGTGGTCAAATAATAAATGACATCAGTAGTTCATGATGTTTCACGTTAGGTGAAACACAGTTGCAAGCAATCGAACCCGTTGTTTAATTCAACAAAGGAATAACTTGACGGTGACAATAATATGCAGAAGAAGAAAAGTATTTAAACTTTAGTCATGAGCAAACCTGTGAAGCCGATGATTAACTGACATGACAGTTAAAAAGTTAGAGCTTTTCAGAGGGAAATCATGAGACATTGACGTGTATTGACGAACAAGCTAGACAAGAAATGTAGTGAAAGAGTGATAAACTAGGAGAGCAAGCTAATTACTGAAGGTCGAAGTTAGGCAATACAAGCGTGTAGGCATTTTTGCTGATCTACAGAATATCATGAACCTACTGAACACATCAAACATTGAAAAAACAAGAACAGACCGCATAAACGATTCTGAACAGCAGACAATTGAAGAGATCAGCACAACCACCTACAGAATCAATAATTTCAAAGCAGTAGTATCATACACGCAGCCTCACCTAAAAATAATGTGAAAGGAAACTAAAGGAAGAATAATAATATTGTGAACTATTTCGAATGAGCAACGGAACTTATCATTTTACATCTGTCAATCAATATGACCAAGAATCATCTTGCTTTCTAGTATTTCCACATTGTAGACCTGTAGAATTTCTCTCATTTCAGCCTAAATGTGTGCAATTGA